CATATTTTCCTTTTCCTTTCCAAAGTTATGTCTAAAATACGAACATATAAAATTATGGGTTTTTTTTTAAGGTTCCTAGTATTAAGATTTTATAGCATAAAGGACACTCAATATTTTCATAATGTCTAAAGTCCCTTAACATCGATTCAGAGAATTTCTCTGGACACATCACAGAGAAAATTCCAAATTTCTCTAGATTCAACCCAGAGAAATTTCCCTCTCCACCCCAGAGAAATTTACTCAACCCCAGAGAAAATCCCCTCCAACTAGAGAAATTCACTTGTGTTGTCTGCAGTTTGATGGCTCCAATGATTTGATCCAACATTATTCTTATACTACAATAAGAGACTTGATCCAATAACCATATTTATGTCTATATTCATAATGAATTCAACATACAAAGCAATCCTTGGAATTTCTCTGGGTTCAAGACCTTAAACATTCAAATTTCTCTGGACTAATTTCTCTTGACTAACATTCAAATTTCTATGGATCTCTAGACTAACATCAAAAACCCTTGAACCTTTCACAAATTTCTCCAGACTAATATTCAAATTTCTCTGGATCAACATTCAAATCCCTCTATCTATCCAGAGAAAATTGAACCCACAGGAAAAATTAACCAAGGTAGAGAAAATTAAGTAGATGAGAAATCTATTTAGAGATAGAATTGTTACTTTAATCAAGAGCTGGGTCATGTACTCACAGAAATCTATGACAATTGCGGCTAGAAATCCAGATTCTTGTGTCACTACAGGAATTACAAGGATCTTTGCACCAACCTGTTTATAAAATTCAATTGCAATGTTATTGCATGCATGTGACACTCACTCATGGAATAAGAACAAGGGTTTAGCTAAAATTATAAATGAGGAGCTTTTCATTTATATCATACAATATTGTCAAACATGGGCCACCAAAAATTTTCAAATGCTTAGCAAAAACTAACTAATTCCTCTAAAATATTTCCTAGTTTTTCCCTCTTTGCACCAAATTCTTGGCAAGAGGCCAACTCTTAAACATTTCAATTTATTCTATATTTTAGTGAGAGCCTCGTGCACTAACTCGCTTTTTTTTTTTTCTTTTTTAATTTAAGTTTAGGATTGTGAATATTGCAACCAAAAATCCACCTTGTTTTGGGGGGTTTCTAATGTGAATGAGTAAACCATGTAAAGACAATATATATATATATATATATATAAGACATTGCTATTTAAGATAAAAAATTAGACCTAATTTTTAAGCCAATGATGTGACAATCAATTACCCCTACTATGTAGATGTTGAACCCCATTTCTAGAACCTTTAATTGAATTGTTTACCTATGAATATATATACATAAATATAGCTTAATCTTTTCTTCATCTTTTTTCTTTTTTGTCGCATGGTATACGTCAAAAAAAGTTTGTGGGGGTTACATGTTAGTTGGGAAGGGAGAATAACAAAGGGATATAACTTAATCTAATTGCAAATAGCATAATTTTTACCATGTTAACTTCTTTTTTTTCTTTAAACTTTTTTAAATATGGCTTGCATAAAACCAGCAGTGATTGCAAGATATATCCTCGTGTCACAAATATGTCTATAATAAACAAGACAAAAGCACGACAAAGGAAGCAATTAGAATTTAAAATTTAAAAAAGCTAATTGACTTGGATGTTAACGTACAATATATTGATCTAATCTTTTTGTTCTTACTTAGCTCCAGAGCAGCCACTATGGCCCCAAATGTAACAGAACAACTAAAAAAAAATTAATTGATAGTTTTGAAACACTCAAATGCAATGTATGCATCCCCAAGAACGAACCTGCTTACCCAAACACATAAAAATCAACTTGTAAACAAGTCCAAAATTTCAGAAAAGGCCAAATTGAGACAGAAAAAAGGGAAGTGTATGTATAATTAACATGATTTACAAAAATTGGAAGCCCTAAAACATGTATAGATTCTTGGGTGGAATTGTGGAGTCAATTCTTTGGGCAATTTATCGAACATGTAGAGGACATTAGAGAAAACCCTCTACACATTGAAAAACCTATCATCAAGCAATCTACCAAAGCAAATACAAACAAAAACAGATTAAAATTGAAATGTTAATGGGTTACCTGGAAGAGGGTTCGACGTTTCTGACGAGACCAGGAAGTTTGGGGAGCAAGACAGAAACAGGGGATTTGAGAGCAGAGGAAGGAGAAGAGAGGTTTTCGTCTTTGCAGAGGTAGCAAATGACATCGACCATGCAGACTTTTCCGACACAGCGACACTCCTCGGCGGCGGATTTGGAGTGGTCACAGGTCCATACGCTGAGGCAGGTGTCGGAGGAGGATTTGAGGGCGGACAAGGCGTCGGCCACGGTGGCGGAGATTGAGACAGATTTGAGAGGCAGCTTGCCTAGGCAGAGGTCAGCTACCTCGTATGCTAGCAAGCGAACTGCCATACAAAACTGAATATGGGGGTTTTTTGAGAGAGAGAAAGAGAAGATGTGGAGGAGGATTCTTAGATAGATAGAAAGAGAGAAAGAAAGGCTGAGACTTGGCAATGAGGCATGGTAGAGAGAGTGGGCACCGATTGAGAGAAAGAAAATTCAAATCCCGCCCCACTGAAAATCAAATTTCCCTCCCAAACTTTTGGCGACCAAAATACCATATTAGTCGCAGAAAATGTACCTTTGCCGACAAAATTTTTCAGTCGCCAAATCTCAATCAACGGCGACTAAAATATTAGTCGCTAAAAGTACTAAGTTGGCGACTAATTTTTTTTTGTTGCTGAAAATAAGTTTTTGGCGACCAAATTTTTGGTCGCCAAAAAATATGTGACCTTCCGCGACCAAATTTGTAGTTGGTCGGCAAAAGTATATCACTTTCTGCGACCAACTCATTTTTTGGTCGCCAAAATATAACATTCTGCGACCAATAATATTTGGTCGCCAAAAATAATGATCATTCGCGACTAATTAATATTTGGTCGCCAAATATCATTTTTTTGCGACAAAAAATTTTTTGATCGGCAAAAGTGGTCGCCAATTGTGTAAATTCTTGTAGTGAAGGCATGACTATTTAAGACCAAAAATTAGACCCAATTTTTAAGCCAATGATGTGACAATCAATTACGATATCATAAATAACACTCTCCTATCTTCTCTACTTATCAACCAATCATATCACTTACACATTGAGTCTAGAAAATGGGTTTAGAAAGTGTGTTTGTATATCATTATAAACAACACAGAGATTTTCTCTGGACCTCCCAGAGAATTTCTCTGTGTTTTTGACCAATTTTCTCTAGTTTGCTCAAAATTTTTAAAATTGAACAATCACCATTTCATTTTGACCAAGTTTCTCTGAACTGTAAGACATTCAGACAACAAGCCAGAGAAAATTGAACATCAAACTTATCAACAAAGAAACACCTCAAAAGCACCAGCTAACAACCAAAGCATATTAGAACTAAATACTACCAATGGAACTTCTAAGACAGAAGGCAAAGAAGCACGGCCATATAATATTGTTGCAATTGGTAGTCAGGATCGCACTATAACTGTTTGGACAACGGCAAGTCCTCGTCCCGTCTTTGTGGCCAAGCATTTCTTTACTCAAAGTGTCGTGGATTTATCCTGGTTAGTTAGCTATTCAATTGTCAAAATAGCTCTTCATAGAAAGTATGTAACTTGATGATATTGGTTAGTATATTTTTTAATCTAAATTCTCTTTTGCCTGCTTGATAAATTTAACTTATTTATTTATTATTCTTTGGAACAGGAGTCCTAATGGGTACTCACTATTTGCATGCTCCTTGGATGGGGCAATGGCTACTTTCCACTTTGAGGAGAAAGAACTTGGTCAGAGGCTAACTGATACTGAATTGGATGAGTTAAAGAGAAATCGTTATGGTGATGTCAGAGGGGGGCAACAAGCAAACTTAGTAGAAAGCCCAGCATAGTTGCTGCTTAAAGCAGCCTCGACAAAACAAACCACAAACAAAAAAAGTGACTACAGATGTCCCACAAAACCAGATGCCCAAAAAATATTCTACTCATTTGGAGGTTGCCACGAAGGCTTCTGAATCGCAAGTTGATGATGGTAAGAAGAGTGGGAGACCTAGTGTCGATGCGTTAAATAAAGTGGAAGCTACTGCTCAGATGTTTAGTCTTGTGAAGCAAAGAGAGTATAGACGCCCTAATGGAAGAAAGAGAATAATCCCTGAGGCAGTTGAAGCGCCTGGTCAACAACAAAATATATCTGATGATGTTCAGTCGCAAGCACTTGACTTCTCTCTGAAGTCATCGGGTTTCGATTTTTAAAGCGGGTTCCGAAAGAGAAGATGAAGAAGAGAGAGAGAGAGAGGGGGAGAGAGGAAGGAGATCGGCAACATGAGAGTGAGAGAAGCACGACGGCAACAAGTGGTGGCCGGCGACGATGACAGATCGAGCAATGACGGTAGATAAAGAGAGACAAATATGAGGTTTGATATGAGAGAATCAAATTTCTCTGTGATATATAAATATAGGGGTTGAGGGACCTTAGACATCACAAAATAATATTGTGAATTTTTTTCATTACTAAAAGTGGAAGAGGGATCTTAGACTAATTTTCTCTAAAACTATCATAGTGAACTTTGTGATAGGTCTACGTGATCCAGACGAGACGGTCCAATATTCTTTGGGGAGAAGTTGGACTCAACTAAGAGCATAAATCATTCTCTTTGTTTGGATTTTGGATTAGATAAGAGAAAAAAATAATAAGAAAATAAAGTGAAAAAATTATTTTTTCTTCTTTTTTGATTGAATTAGGAAGATGAAGAGATAATAAATATAATTTATATTATTTTTCAATAAATTTCCCCAGCAGTTGCACCAAGGTAGGTGAGCTTTAACTTATAAGGGAAATAACACACTAGTCCCTGTCAGTAAAAAAACTATCAATAAGTGATAAATATTAATAATTAAAACTATAAATTTTTTCATTAATTTGTAATAATTTTTAAAAATTATCACTAACGGGTAATTTTGTCTAACTTATAAAAGCCACGAGGTACAATAATTACCACTTACGGGTAATTTTTCCTAACTTATAAAAACAACCACGAGGTACAATAATTACTTTTTAGGTCCACATAAAATCATAATAAATTTCCCATAAGAAAAAACCCCAAATTATTTTTCTTTTCTTCATCATCTTCATTTAGTTCATTAGAGGATTGCCCATGCTCCATGCATTTAGACTCTCAATTATAATAGTCTCACTGCCGTTGTTAAATGCATATAAATGAGCATTCTTCAATACTGCTAGAGTAGGATAAACCCTAGATGTTATGCATGTTTTTCCTCTTGCTCCAAAACTTTCCACTATAGAATGATCAATCTGCATGCAAAAAAGTTCAAAATTAGCAATACAATCATAAATTAGTTAATATCGGATAGAATTAGTCAATATATCGATAAATATCAGTATTGAAAGTTCAAAATCCTAATATGCGTCAATTGATTAGTATTAGTCGATATTTAAAACCTTTGGAGAGAGAGTAGATACAAAAACATCAAAAATCATACCAAACTCCTAAGAGAAAGTTTGTTATCAGCTAAATCCACGTCAACAAAACCTGCAAATGATGGCTTATACCAAAGTTTGTTTTTCTCCAAAGAGGAACTGTCAAATTGTAAACCAAGTTAGATCAACTGATTTAAGTTAAAATAATTATGTAATTGTGTACAAAAGCTAATAATAGACAAGCAAATCAATCAGAGTAGTGCTACACATAATTGTATTTCTTAAGCAAGACAACGGTACCTATGTCAACATATGCACATAGGACCAGCTCAATTATGCCTAAAGGTGAGAAAATACAGTAGGAAATATAATTATATGTAGCATCTTGGGTAAATTAGGCCACTGAAATTTGGAGAAAATCTAGTAAGTTTGATCGCAAGTTTTGACATAATTAAATTAGGCTTTTTTTAAAATTTTTAATTCACATGACATGTATCCCTATTTTTATTAGTAATTCATTGGTGATATAGATTTTAAAAAAATAATATTGCCATCTATTTTACATTGCAATATTTATTTTACTTAATTTACCCGTATATTTTTACTCTATTTACATTAATTTCGGTTTCTTTAATATTATTAAAAATAATTATATGAAAACTATAAAATTTATTGTACCTTCTTCAAATTGTAATGAAAGTTAGTGTAATTTAACCTAATATTTTTCAATAAACAAACAAACCTTGTTGCATCAGAGCACATGAGAACCACGTGCTTATTTTTTGCCTTAAAAATCCTAAAGAGTATAGGTGTATATTCTTCAAGGTGTTTTGAAGCTAATGTCAAGAGCCCAAATGGTCCAACCCCACCTTGAACATTTGAACCCTTGTGGCTACAAAGTTGTTGGGCATCCATATCTACCCAAGAAGGGTCAAATGAGTCAGCTTTGTCTAAACTTGGGAACGAGAATGTAACTTCAACATCAGCCTGCAAAATTATCAGTGCCAATAAAAAAAACTTTCATTAATGCTATTGCATAAGTTGTAAAATAATTTGAGTTATGTTACGAGTCCCAAATAAATTACCAAATTTTTTACTAAACCTCTTATATGGTTGTGGGATCCACACACTTATGATTTGGGTGAGTCCCACACCCATGACATTCATGAAAGAAGTTTAGTAAAAAAATTAATAATTCATTTGAGCTCCATAGTATTTTCCAAACAATGCATGGTTAGGCATGATCAACCACGTAAACAATGTATGGCAAAATACACTTATTGCATATAGTTTGAAAGAACATGAATAAATTAAGATAAATTATATATTTCAATGTAAAACAGATAAATAAACCTGTGCAGCTGTAATTCCTTTGATTTCAATATGATCTCCCAAATTGAGTTGATGATTGCAAATGTGTATCTTTTTCCCTCTTAGAGTTTCCAATTCTTCAATTGGCCATTGTACCAATTGTTTTCCACTTGGATCAAGCCAAATCTTTCGTGGAATTGTCTAAAAAAAAGAATACAGTCTCTCTAATATCAATAGACTTGTGCAAACACAAAAAGAACAACATAATAAATCATAGAGCACTTGTTATTCAATATATGCTTCTAATTTTATTTAATATTACTATGTATATTATGTTACCTGAATTCCAGCCCAACCCTTTTTGACATCCTCATTAGAGGCATCCGACTCATTGACCCACCCCCACAAGATCCTCCGATTCCTACTAGCATCAAAAAATGTCTTCGAGGCATAAAAATTTCCATAATCATATCTCAACCCGGTTCGATCATCAATAGAAGTATTATCTGGTACATAACTATCCTTCTTAGGAAAATATGTTCCAACTGTATAGTACTCATATCTAGTTTCATCAAGGCTCACTTTTAAGACATGTTTAATATTTCCTGTCATCACTGATGTTTCCAACCCGTTTTCACAATCCAAAGATACAGGGTAGAAATCCGGGCATTCCCACATACCCGTCATGGCCGAAGAATGCAATGGGTGTTGGGCCTTGGTCCATTTCATGAAATCCCTACTCCGATACAAATGGGCCATCCCTCTATGTTTTCTCTTACCTCCCACCAAAATCCTCCAATGCCCATCTTGGCCCAACCATGCGGTTGTCGGGTCACGGAATGCGGTTTTATTCACACCGACAGGTAAAACTAATGGGTTGTTGTCGGGCTTTATCCATTCATTCAGGAATGGATCCGAATAGTTAGCTGGTACAGCATAGTTTTGGACTTGTGTGTAATTTTTGTCAATTACCCCAGTGTAGAGTATGATGGGCTTGTTACCTGGAAGAATTGTGGCCGACCCGGACCAAGCACCGTACTGATCAAACGGCTTTGAAGGGTAGATTGCTACATCAAGTGGCTTCCAATTGATCATATCTGTCGATACTGAATGAGCCCACACAATATTGCCCCAAACTGCACCTTTGGGATTGTACTGGTAAAAGAAATGGTATATTCCTTTGTAGTACATTGGTCCTATTCACATTTAAGTTACAACAAAAACAAAATATATTAGAAGTTAAATGGAACAAACAAATATAAATAGGATATCTGTAATTTGTTCTTTGAAATGAATAGTTACCTAGTATGGCATAGAAACTTACCATTTGGATCTTTTGTTTGTTTGTAGCCCCAAGTTGAACATGAAGGCAAACAAAAGCAAAACAAAAAGAGTCAATTAATTGGTAATGAATGCTGAAAAGAAACAATAAATTTTCGATGTAAAAACAACGAAATAAAAGGTAAATTTTCACGATAATGACATGGGAAGGAAAACAAAAAGAAGCTTGACGATAATAAAGTCGTCATGTAGTCCATTAATTAGATTAACTTAACTTTAAATGCAAATAGATTTTCAAAAGAGAAAAGTTAGGGATTATAAAAAAAAATTCATGAAAATGATCATGAAAGAGTTATGATGCTTAGATTACCTTAATTAGTTTATGGCGCTTTATTCTAAATGTAATCTAAAAGTCACAAACCTTTCATGATACCTAGTATTACTGTTTCCAAAAAGGATAATTTTTCTTTAAATAGTCCTTGATATGTCTTCATAATTAAGAACGTAATACTTTGGCTTTCATATAAAAAGATACACTCATTTTAGTCCCGATTAGATAAGATCTGGGTGGGATGAATTGGTTGGAAAATTTGTTGGGTTTCTCCTCCATGTGAAGAGCTGTGCACATGTGAATGGAAGCCATAAAAGTCAAAGAAAGCAGCAAAATGGAAAAAAAAAAAAAAAAATACAGCTGCAGATTTGGGCTGAAGATTCTTAGTCGAGCTATCTTATTATAGGGTGATTGTGTTTGTGGTTGCCGTCAATGTTGTCGGTGGCTCTATAGGCTCTCCAATTTGTGTATAAATAGAAAAAGAGAGAGCAAATGATAGAAGGGGGAAACTAAGAGAGAGGGTAAGAGAGATTGGCCCTATGTGTGAGAGAGGGTACTCTATCAGTGTGAGATGATGAGCTGAGTGTGAGTTGAGTGAGGATGAGTGTTCCCTCCTCCATTGTAATCTTTGTATTCTTTCCATCTATAATGAAATTTGGTTATTCTCCCGTGAACGTAGGCATTGGATCAAACTACGTTAAATTTGTTTCTCTATATGTGTGTTGAGGGGGAGGTTGGTTTGGTGCATGAATGTATACTATGGAGATTCTGAGCGGGATTCTCAAATCCTAACAGAATTTATATAATTTATATATCGTAACCGCACGTTTAAACCGATAACCCCAAGATCGATAAGCCGAGTTTTCACCTCAAAGTTGATGGGCTTTTGCTTTTACCTTGTGAAAAAATGACTAGTCCAAAAAAAACCCTTTAATCACATTGAGTTTTGGCATTACAAATTACAAACGTTGTTAAATGGATGTTATCAAATGTCTTTTTCTAGCCTTTTTTCCCCCAAGACAGTATGTAGGCTCCAAAATACAACCAGGAGAAAATGAATGTCTGAACAGAAAAAATTCAATGATGCATAAGAAGTGGCTAGGATAATATCACCAAAAATTCTAAAATAAATAAGAGCGAGCTAAATTGTGATTGTGATATCCAATGTCCAATAGCTCTCCTACTATTCGGTGGTCTAAGAGCATTGTTTTACAATATTTATATATAGATGAGTGTTTAATTATCTCTTATAAAATAAACAACAATGATTCATCCCCCTTTTCCTCCCACCCCCTTTGACCCCCTCTCTCTCTCATTGGTTACATTTTCTTTTTCTTTTTCTTTTTTTTCCTGCTCCTCCAATCACCACCCGCCACGTGGCAAAGGGGGGTGAGAGGGTGACCCCCAAAAGGGGGTCCCAAGCATTATTCTAAAATCAATAAATAAGTAATGAGTCTCATCAATTCAACCAATGACAGGCAAGTTAGAATATCACATCGTCTTGCTCCAAGGGCAAAAAATAATGAGCAATGTTAGAGGTCTTAAATATTTTACCAAATGTCTCACATATCTATGTGAGACGTTTGGTAAAATATTTGGTAGAAATTTTAGTATCCCTGGCATTACTCAAGAACAGTGGCGAGCTAAGAAATTAAATCAGAGGGAGGCACTTATTGATTACAATATTGAAAATGTTTGCAAAAATATTTCACATAAATTTTCACGATTGACTTCAAGAAAGATAAAATAAAATAAAATAATAAAAAAAAGTAATCAACGTGTTTGGTTTGAGTTTTTTGAATTAATTTTTTTAAAAATTGAGTTTTTTTATATTTTGTATATTTTTGTTTTTAGTGAATATTTTTAAAATTTTAAGTATTTTTTTTCTTTTTTAGATGCATCTTACTTAGATGTATCTAAAAAAATATTTGTGAAAAAATATTTTAAAAGTTAATAAATATATAAAAATATGAAAAATTTACTATATTTTTATATTTTTTTTGTATTTTTGGTATTTAGTAACTTTTTAAAGATTTTTTCGTAAATATTGTACTTTTTGTGTATTTATGTTAGGCGTGTCTAAAAATTGAAAAAAATTGTTTAAAATATTTAAAAAATTCAGTAAAAATAAAAAAATACGGAAAACAAAAGAGTAGAATTTTCTAAAAAGTGTTTTTAGAAAACTCAAACCAAACAAAGTGATGTTATTTGTAATTAGTGTATCATGGACAATATTAAAAAAAAGTCATGGATATAAAGTTTTAAAATAAATTATATAATGATAAATTAATTTTTTATATAAAATATGTGTAAAAATTCAATATAATAATCATACCACATCATCATTGACATGTGATATCACCAACCAATAGTAAAGAAACACATGGAAGATGAACCCTACATGTCAAATGTAACTAACAATTCAATAAATTCTATATTTTCATTGAGATTAATTATATTTACATGTCAATAATGATAGACATCACCATTATATTAAAATTTTCATAGATAATAATATCGTATTCTCTTTATTTTTAATCAAAACAATCATTATTGTTCTTATAATTTTAAAAATGTCATTGACATTTCACTTTAAATAACATTTTTATAAATTTTTATTTAAAATATTTTCTTTATGTTTGTCTCAAAAAAAAATCAAAAAACAAGAGGGGCACGTGACCCACCTGGACGCTTCTTCCCTCCGCCCCTGCTCAAGAATAATTTCCCCTCTTGAGTACCATTACCTTCTATGTGGACACTTAAAATTTAATTTCATAGTTGTCATTCATTTAAAAAATATATATAATATAATTTATTCATGTGTTTAGTGATGTCTAATAAAATTAATTTTTTTACAACTGTTATTTATTCACATGTTTAATGATATTTGATGAAATTAATTTTTTACATAACTTATCTTTATTATTAAATTTACAAAGTAAACTATTCAGAAAAAGGCTCACGAAATAAAATATAAAAGAATATATAATAGAGGGATGTCATTCACAATTTGATGATAAAAAGATTCTCAAAATGTCATTCACAATTTGGAAAAATTTTTTGAAGTCAATTGTTGAAATCTAAAATTTGTATTGTCCTTAGGCCTGGTTTGGGAACAGGCTATTTTAGTAACTTTTTGGCTTTTTACGAAAAGATGTGCAGAAAAGTAGAGAGGTGATGTGACAAGTTTTAGTTGACTTTTTGACTTTTTGACTAAAATAGCCACTCCCCAAACGAGGCCTAAATACTAGGGGGCCAAAACTTATCCATGACTTTCCAAATGGAACTAATGTTGCCACAACTCTTTTTGAAAGAGACACATAAAAGAAAGGAATTACACATTCATTCACTCTGTTTGGTTTGAGTTTTTTGAATTAAATTTTTTAAAAATTTAGTTTTTTTGTTTTCGTATTTTTTTTGTTTTTAGTTAATATTTTTAAAATTTTAAACACTTTTCACAAATTTTTTACTTTTTAGATATATTTATGTTAGATATGTCTAAAAAGTAAAAAAATTGCTTAAAATATTTAAAAAAATCAGTAAAAATAAAAAATACAGAAAATAAGAAAATAGAATTTTCTGAAAAATATTTTTGAAAAAACACAACCAAACAAGCTTATTATTATTATTATTATTATTATTTTGGGCAACTCAAACAGTTTTAAACTTATTTTTCTGAACTCTTCTTGTTTTATTAAATTGTGTTCTGATAACACGATTTCAAATTTGAAGAAGTTGTATTTTAAAAATATAACTTACTTTTCTATAATAAAATTTCAATTATTTTATTATTATAAAAATTAAAATATGATTAGGATTGTTTCGAAAAGTGTTAAATTAATTGATTTTTTTATTTATTATAAAAAGATGATATAATTCAAATAAGTCAACAAACTAACCTATAAATTACTTTTCAAAAGAGACCTTAACAAAACACGATTTGGAATTTGAAGTCATAGTTTATAATACAATTTAAAAATATGAATTAACTTTCCAAACCCTTGAAAATTTCATGGAGCGTGAGAATTAAAAAAAAATTTATATTTATTTGTAATATATCTTAATAATGGAATTAATTATATAAAATATTATAAATATTCTTTTTTGTTTTTGACATATTTTAAGTAATGAGTTTGTAAAGTAAAAATTGAATTCAGGAAGGGTAAATTTAAATATGAAATAAATTTGAATTATAAATTAATATTTATAAATAAAACTTTTAAGTTTATAATATTTCCTATATTCAAAAAATACTGTCTGACATCGCAGCAGAATGATTAATTTGACGCACGCTTGGGCACAAATGTCCATGAAAATGTAGATTTGACCGTACAATGTTCAATATCCAGCTGACATGACATGAATGCTCCTAAATAAAATCTTCCCTTATATCCATCTGTCCTTATCTCAAAAAATAAAATAAAATAAAATAAAATTTTGTCTCTTCTTATTGTTATTTTAAAAATTTTGTCTCATATTATTTAAAATTTGAATGATCTTTTCGAAATTAGTCCAACTAGTTTTTCTAAAATTTTAATTCGTATAATAATTAAATCATTTTTATCAGTAATGTTTTAGTCATATGAATAAAAAAAATAATCACTTTTTTTTGTTTCAGTTTTCAAAATTTACTTTTCAGAAATTTTAATTTTTTGTTTTTCATGTTTTTTTATTTTTACTGAATTTTTTTAATATTTTAATTAATTTTTTAAATTTTTAGA